CCAAATAAAATTAAATCTTGATAACAGCCAGAGGGTTTTGGAGAAGAAAGATTAGGGTTCCAATAGGTGACAGGCTTAGCAGGTATCATGCGAATAAGATCATGAGGGAGTGATCCCTTTGAACAAAAATTGCCAACAGAATACCATAGCTAGCCGCAGAATCTTTTTTTTTTTAAATAATTGTTTATTTCATTTCATTTATTCATTCGTTTATTTTAATTTGACCAGAGAGGGACAGAGTGAGAGAGAAGGAAAGTGAGAAAGCAAGCCATTAGGTCCAGGACTTGAACCATGGCAGTCATGTGTAAGTGTCCAGCACCTTAGCCACCATGCCACCTGCTGGTCCCATAGCCACGGTATCTATAAAACTGAAGGTTTATCAAACAATCACATCTCAGATAACTCACTGCTGGAAGGCCTGTGTTATAAGAAACATTAGTTTTTCAGGCAGTAGGGGTATAAGACAACATACTGTGTATCTACACAAAAAGTGCCCCAAAAAAGGTAAAAAGTTAAGAATAAAAGCCATTTTTAATTTTATTTTATTCATTCATTTTAATTTGAACAGAGAGGGAGAAAGAGAGAGAGAGAGAAAGTAAGAAAGGAAGCTACCAGGCCCGGGACTCAAACTGTGGTCGGCCGTGTGGGAGTGGTCCAGCGCCTTAACCACCATGCCACCTGCTGGTCCCCAAAAGCCATTTTTTCCATATTTTCATTCTAAAAAATAACTAGTGAAAGCAATAATAACAATATCCTGTGGGTTGCTAATATGAAAAAGTAAGTGTATGACAGTAACAGGAAAGGAAAAAGGAATTGAATGTTCGCTATCTTGCATGAATTTTACACTATACATGAAGTGGCACTCCAGGGGAAACTGGGAGACAAATCAAAGATGCACACTGTAAATTTCAGGTCATATATAAAATAATTTTAAAAGAAATATACAAAGTAAGCCAATTTTATAGTTCAAAATAAAATTACAAAAATACTTAACTAAGGCCAGCTGTCGGCATGATGCTTAAGGTAGCTGGATCCCACGTGGCTAACTGCATGCTCAGACTTGGGGACTAGGGAAACATGCCAGGTGCATGTGCATGTATGCCCAAACTATTGAAGAGGACAATGAAGGAAAGGGGACTGTGGCATGGCCACCCCTGAAGGATGCTTTCTCACTTTCTCTCTCTCTCTTCCTTTCTCTCTCTGAGATTTCTCTCTGGTGAGTGTGCAAGCCCTAGAGCCAATTAAAAATAATTCAATTAACTGTGGACCAGCAGGTGTCATGGTGGTTAAGGTGCTGGACACTCCCACATGGCTGACCACGGTTCGAGTCCCAGACTTGATGGTTTGCTTTCTCACTTTCCCTTTCTCACTTGCTCTCTCTCTCTGTGCCTTTCTGGTCAGATTAAAAAATAAATGAATGCGGGCTGGCAAGTGGCGTGGTGGTTAAGGGTGCTGGACTCCCACATGGCTGACCACAGTTCAAGTCTTGGACCTGGTGGCTTGCTTTCTCACTTTCTCTCTCTCTCCCTCTGTCTCTCTCTGATCAAACTGGAAAATATAATAACAATGATAATAAATAAAGTTAAAATAAATTAACTCCTTAAATAAATAAATAAAATAAAATAATTATTTTAAAAAATAATAATTCAACTAATCTAAGAGCAGGCAGTAAAAGAAGAAAAGTGAAATAAAAGGACACCTGGAACAAATAGAAAGCAACTAGCATAATGATAGATTTAAACCTAAGAATATCAATCATCATAATAAGTACAATTAGTCAAAATAGTCAAAACACACCAGGAAAATGGCAAAAAGCTCTGGACTAGATTAATTAAAAAAAAAAAAAAAAGGCGAGACTGAGGCTCAGCCAGAGTGCTCAGGATTCAGTTCCTGGGTCAACCTGCAAACAGGGGGTGCAACTGCAGGCAGGGCCATGACCCTGGATGGCTGCGAGGCCGAGGGGAGGATCACGGCATGGTGGGACCCTGTCACGGGCCCCCGGTCTGGACTGTCTCTCTCTATATATATATCATTAAAGAAAGAAAAAAATTAATATTAAAAAAAGAAAGGAAAAAAAGACCCACCTGTATACTGTTAGCCCACTTTTATTAAATATTTCTAAAGAAAAAACTGCAAGTAAAATGATGGAGGAGGGTATGGTACATAAACGCCAATCAAAAGGATGCGGAACTGGCTGTATGAACACACTACGAACGAGACTTCAGACGAGCAACATTACCAGGAATAGAGGACATTATATGACGACAGAGGTCAACTCATCAAGAGGACAGGACAGTCTAAATGGATAAAGATGTGGCAACAGAGCTCTAAAATGTAAGAAACAAAACTTATAGGACTAAAGAGAAAAAAGAAAGACATCCACAAAATTACATGAAGACTTCAACATCCCTCTCTCAGAAATCGTTAGAACAAGCAGATGAAGTCAGTGCTATGATTTTAAAGTGTCTCTCCAAAATTCACATGCTGCAAATTTGTTGCTATTATGAATATACTGAAAAGGTGAGACTTGATCCAACGACAGCAGAGAGCTAGAGCCTTTGGGAAGCGACGGGCACTAAATATGGTCAAAAGGATGGGCCCCCATGATTAAATACTTTAAATGGCTTTACAAAGAGAGAGGGGCACATTGGCCTTGCTATTACCCCGTGGTGGCCCTACACTGCTTGGGACTCTGCAGGTAGTCCTCACTAACAGGAAGCCCTAACTAGTAGCAGCCTCTGAGTCATGGACCTCCAAAACAATGAGCTAAACAAACCTCTATTCTTTATATAAATTACTCAGTCAATTATAGTAACAGGCAAAGAAGTTAGTAAAAATTTCAAAGAACATTATCTAACATAATTAAATTAAAATTCAATTACAGAAAGTCATCTGTAACACTCTCGGGTAGTACAAAACTAAGTGTCAAAGAACAAGTTGTAAAGAAGACAGAATACTTTCAGTTGAATGACAGTAACATATTGAAATCCCTGAGACACAATTGAACTTGTGACTAGACAGTAATTTACAACATTAAATGCTTACACTAGAAATGTCCAATTTCATTATCTAAGCTGTCACCTTAAGGAACTAGAAAAAGAACAAATCAACTCAAAGTAAACAGAAGAAATCATAAAAATGTGAACCTCTGCCAGCAGAAAGGCAACAGTAAAAGCCGATGAGACCAAAAACTGGATTTTTAAAAAGATCATTACAATTAATAAACTTCATTCTAGACTTAAGAAAAAAGAGAGGGGTCAGCCCCATGGCCTGTGATTAAGGGAGCCAGATTCCATGTGGCCAATCACAAAAACATGCTGGGTGAGACAAGCAGATGGTGTGATGGTTACACCACCGGACTTCCACATAGTCGACCCTGGTTCGAGTCCCAGACCAGATAGCTTGAAACTCATGCCAGATATATGTATGTGCATGCCCAAAATCCAAAGAGGAGAATAAAGAAGAAGGGACTGTGGTATGGCCATCCCCTCGGGGTGATATCTCTCTCTCTCTCTCTCTCTCTCTCTGGCGAGTACCTGTGCCCTATAGCAAAAAAAAAAAAAAAAAATCTTAAGAAAGAAAAACATGTTGGGTGTGTGTGTGTTCATGCCTCAATCCCCAAATATAAAAAAATGGAAGAGGGACTGTAGTGTACCCACAGTCCATGAGCAGGTGCTTTCTCCTTCTCCCTGTTTCTCTAACCCTCTCTGGACGTGTATGCACTCTCTGGCAATTTTTTAAAAAAGAAAAAAAGAGGATACAAATTATGGATATAAGGAATTAAAGAAGAGGGACCAGCAGATGGTTACGTCACTGGACTCCCACATAGTTGACCACAGTTCAAGTCCTGGACCCAGTGGCTTAAAATTCATGCCGGGTGCCTATGTGTACATGCCCAAGATCCCAAGAGGAGAATGGAGAAGGGATTGTGGTGTGTCACCCACCCCGGGGTAATTTCTTGCTTTCTGTCTCTCTGTCTGTCTGGCGAATGCATGCACCCTACAGCAAAAATCTCTCTCAAAAAAAAAAATAATGAAAGAAGAGACATTAACAACAGAACTTATGGCCATTAAAAGTACAAGGTAATAACTGGCAGGTGGCGTAATGCTTACATCACTGGCCTCTCAAGTAGTCAATTGTGGTTCAAGTCCCAGACCCAGTGGCTTGAAACTCACGTCTAGTGCGTGCGCGTGCATGCTCAAAATCCTGAGAGAAGAGTAGAGGAAAAGAAGTGCAGCATGGCCACATTCCCCAACTCATTTTATGAAGTTGGCATAACCTCAATTTAAAACTGAATAAAGACATTAAAAAAAAAAAAAAAACTATGGAACAAAATCCCTCATGAACACAGATGTAAAAGTCCTCAGCTAAATATTAACAAATCTAATCCAGGAACATATAAAAACATCAAGCCTCTTTTAAAGGATTTAATCCATGTTTTTTTAATCCTGCCCTAGGATGAACCCAAAGACAACAAATGGCATCTGATTCCAGTCTGTATTAAGTTCTAATGTACGTAGAGTCTTATGTACCTAACTTTACAAAGCTACTTGCAAAGAAAAGGCACAGCAGACAGCTTAACTGAGAAAATTAAGAAGCAGACTGGGGGCCAGCAGGTGGCATGGTGGTTAGGGCACTGGACTCCCACATGGCCAGTCAAATCCCAGACCTGGTGGCTTGCTTTCTCATTTTCTCTCTCTCTGTGGTCAAATTTAAAATAAATAAATGTGTTAAATAAGGGATTTTAAAAAGCAGCAGCGTATGTGCACAGCAGCTAAAACATTACAGAAGTGCCAGGACCAAGAGCAATGTACAGCTTCAGGCCACACACTCAGGGGGAGAGCAGTGACTTTATCTCCTTGGTCTCTAAAAAGAAATTGAGTGTCTTTTCCTGAGGTAAAATTCTGCTCCGTTTCCTCATGGTTTCCAAGGTTATGACCCAAAGCACAGTCCCTGCCTGCTTTCTGAACAGATACATCCAGTCTGGCTGAGACACGTACCTTCGACCTGGCTAGTATCTGCACATGGTTTCTTCTTTGACTCTGAGTTCCCGGTTTTCTCATCCACATCCAGGAGAGGAATATAGTCTGTTTTTCCAACAGTTTCTCCCACGACATCATCAAAGGCCTCTGCCTCCAGTGTGGCAATGAAGTCCCGCTTGATCTCGCCCTCGATTTCTGGAGGAGGTTCTGTTAATGCATCTGCCAGACTGAGGTCAGCCATTCTGCACCGCCGCTACTGCCTGGTGAGGAAGAAAAAGACGTTTCAGGTGATGAGCACAACCCAAGGAAAGCCTTTTCTAGAAACTCACGGCAGTTATTCTAAACACACAAAATGGATCAAACTCTGAGGCTTCCTCATTTAAAAGAAATGAAAATTAAAGTTTAGAAGCAAATAGTCTTGCTCAGGGTCGATCACTGCTAGTCACTTTTTCCTTGCATCTCTGGGAGATAGACAAAGCAAAAGCCATGTTGTCCCTTTTATTATAAGAAAACTGAAGTGCAGAAAATCATTCCCTTAGCCAGAGTTGTAGTCAGTAAGAGTCAAATCAAGTGTTTAAATTTCAAGTCTCATATTCAACTACTCCATAAGCTTCATTCCAAATCATGTATCAGAATTACATTTTTTACAAATATACAAAAAGAGGTCAGATACTATTGCCATAAAAAGTAACATTACTATCAAGCAAATGCAATCACTTTCTTGACCAAAGATTACGAGTATGGGCCTTATCTTGGAGTACGAATTACTTCCTCATAAATCATTTGTGGACAGCCCTGTCAGGCCATCTACAACACTCAATCCAGCTATAATAAATATGTATATATATATACAAATATACTCCCTGAATTAGCTACAGGAGAGGATCCCTCCCTGAGGTTTATGTATATTACCATCTTTATAGAATACTAGCCTCTTAATTTTTAAACACAATTTGAAGCTAAGAAGTATAATCAGGTTAGCCCCACCGTGCAGTAGTTAAGTTCTCCTAACTACCAGGCTACAGGCCTAGGCCTAAAAACATTTTTAAGAGATATAAATAATAAGTCAACACTGGAGTTAAAAATGGACTCATAAGGCTAGCAGGTGGCATGGTGGCACTGGACTCCCACATGGCTAACCACAGTACAAGTCCTAGACCTGATATCTTGTTTGCGCGCGCGCGCTCGCTCTCTCTCTCTCTCTCTCTCTGGTGAGCACATATGGTCTACAGCAAATTAGTAAGAATAATAAATAAAATCTATTATTTCAAAAAATGAACCCATAAACAGATTTAAGTCCAACCATGCCAATATTAAATATAATCTAAACATACCAATTAAAAGACTAAGATCTTCAGATTAGATAAAGATGACCACCCTATGGTATCTATAAGAAATCCACTTTTATTAAAATAGAAAAAAAAGAAATGGTAAGAATGTGGAAAAATTGGAATCCACACGTACTGTTGGTAGGAATGTAAAATGGCAGGGCTGCTATGGAAAACAGTGACAATCCCTCGAAAAATTAAAAGCAGATTACCACATGATCAAGCAACCCTATTTCTGGGCATACTAGAAAGAACTGAAAGCAGGGCCTCAAAGAGAGATCTATGTACTGACAGCAGCGCTACTGACAGTAGCTAAAGCGTGGAAGCAACCCAAGTGTCCGTCAACAGATAAACATGTAAGCAAAGTGTGGAAGAGACATACAGTAGAACATTAGCCAACCTTAAAGAGGAAATTCTGTCATGGGTTACGTGGTGGATGGACCCTGAGAACATTATAGACTGCATGATTCCACTTACTGCATGATTCCAAGTACTTAGAACAGTCAAAATCAGAGACAGAAAACAGAGTGGTAGCTGCCAAGGGATGGGGGAAGGGAGGCTGAGGAGTTCCTAATTAACAGGTGCAGCATTTCAGTTGTGTAAGATGAAAAGGGTTCTGGAGAGGGATGGTGGTGTATAACAGTATGACTATGTTTAATGCAACTGAACTATACACTTAAAAATGGCTAAGATGCTGAATTTTATATTATATGCATTTTACCAGAATTAATGAAATAGGGAAAATAAAACACTAATCAAAAGGAAACTGGAAGAGCTGTATTATTGACTTGTCAGAAAATCCTTGACGCATTTTTGCATAGAAAAATATATCATGACTTTTCCGATGATCCAATAACATAAGACAAATTAGACTTGAAAACATACGATTACCATGGATAAAGAGGAAAATTACAAAATGATTAAAAAGTCAGTTCTGGTAGCCAGCAGGTGGCATGGTGGTTTAAGGCACTGGACTCCTACATGGCCAACCACAGTTTGAGTTCTGGAATGTGCGTGCTCTGTAGCAAAAGATCATTACAATGAATAAACATCATTCTTGACTTAAGAAAAAAGAGAGAAGTCAGCCCCATGGCCTTGTGCTTAAAGGAGCCAGATTCCATGTGCCCAAGCACAGTTCCAGAGAAGGCTGCAACAAGGTGCCATCTTGGAAGCAGAGACGCCCTCACCAGACACTCAGTCTGCCAGCACCTGAACTCAGCCACCTCAACCTTTAAAAATGTGAGGCAGTCCCTGTTATTTATAAATTACCCAGTCTAAGTATTTGGTTATAGAAACACAATCTTTTAATTTCTCAAAACAAATCACGAAACACTATTTAAAAAAAAATCAAATCACACTTCAGCTAATTGTAAACATTAAGGCCAAAAATGAGAGAGAGAGAGAGGAAAAGAAGAAAATTAACAGAATTCATTTCCTCTAGCAATATCTAATAACAATAAAGCTAAATCCAATTTAGCTGGTCTGTTAGAAGCAAAACAGTAATAGCGAGCCAGTGACAAGAGCCAAGGAAAACATGGAAGGAGGGATTTTAGTTAGTGTCATGAATTAGTTCATGAATGGTAAGTTTCCTCCATGAAAAAATACATATAAAATTGGACAATACTGTCAAGACCAGCTGCTCCCTTGTTGTACTGGAAACCAACAAACTGCAGAACACAAAGGAGGAAACCTTTTATTCCTGAAATCTGCTTGAGCTTCAGGTAAGACCAGGGACAGTGGACAGCACTCTTGCTGAGAGCTGCCCCCACCCATCCTTGCCCCTGCCCAGCTTGGTCAGCAAGAATCACACTGGACCAGTCGCTGGCTGTGGCGCTGTGAGGGGGGCAAACTCTACTTGGGGCAGGCGGGTACAAATCCCGCAGCATGACAGGGCTGTTGTCCACAGCAAATATCATTCATGCTTGCTGAATTCCACTACTGGAATTACGAATTCCACCACTGAGTAACCACGACTGAGTTCAGAATTCAGCAATTTTTCTGAATATGAATGAGTTCGAATGTTAACTTCACTGTTGTAAATATTTAAATGGCTCTTTTAAAGTTTCTCCAGTGATAGTGGCATACCTTTAGTCCATCCACAAAACAAGAATGTGAGTGGGAGCCCCTAGGCTATGCTCCCCCAGGCTACTTTACATATAATGCATTACTGTAACTCCAGATCCCCACAGAGAAAACACTGAAAAAGGACTAAAGAAGTAACTCTTTAAAAGCCTGACAAAATCTAATGTCAAGGGGTTCTGTGACAAGTAACTGCATCCCCTTTTCTATCTTCGATGGCAGTTATTGCCAGTTAGCCTTTGTGAACTGCTGTAAACCCAAAACAATAAAAGGATGCCTGTAATTTAACAATTTCATGGTCAAAGAACTTGAAAGTCATTCTTAACAATATGCAATAAGAGCCCAATAGATTTACATTCCCCAGAAACACAAAATAACCATATTTAGATGATGCAACCTAGTCAATCTTTTACTAATTTTAGAACACAAATGAAAGTATATATAAAATGCCAACGCGTTTTATGTACCGTTTCTCAGAGTGCAGATTCTCCAAGGGCAGCCTTTGTTCCACTGTAGTCTTCCCCCTCCCTGACGTCTGGCCTCACTCCCCGAAGACCGCTTCCTAGGCTGACAGGTAGCTCATGGAACATGAACCGTGGCCTAAATGCAGCCTAAGAGTGTAAAACAGCAAATCCTACCGTGGGAAAGTGGGCCGGTACTTGGCTAGCAGTGTACCGAGCCAACCACGAGGCATCCGCACCTCAGCAGTTCGACTGCTCTTCACTAGTCCCGCACAGAAACAGAACATGACTTACACACCCCTTACGCAAATGATCCTATGAAGGCAATGCTAGTGTTATGCTGGAAATAAAAGGGATGGCTTTTAGTCAGAAAGCTCCCATTTTCAATAAATTAGAGTACTCAATATTGGAGTTACCCTACTGTAACACATGGATCAGTAGCATAGGCTTAAGTGTGCTATAGGTTTGTTCAACTGCTTCTGCAAGTGTTCCAAGAGTGAGTTTTTAAACTCAGGTACGAATTCCATTTCACCCTTACAAAATCATTTAAAGTTATATGCCTCAAATGTTTAGTTATGTATTTTATAGGCAAAAGGTAATGACACAATAGTATTTTCCAAATATAGATATTCAGGAAGGTTTTTTTTTAAATCTTTATGAATGATAAGTATCTACTTTTAAAAAAACTCTCTCTCACTGACCATTCGTACTACCCCCTTCTATCCATAAAGATAATTAGGTTAACTTTGAACCAATGTGGATGTGAGTAGGAGATAACAGAACTGAAAAGCTGGGGACAGGAGTTCCCAGGCCTCGCTGCAGCTCAGCTTTAATCTGACACTCACCGTGTTCGTAAATGAGTCGCCTTCTGGGGCTGAGTTCCCTGATCTGAAAAATGACAGTGCTCTGTGAAATGACTCCTGAGGTTGATGGATCGATTAAGCCACTTACAATTCAGTTTCGTCATTTCAGTCAGCTATAAAAACAACTCTTACAGTGCCTCAATGAGAATATGTATGACAATTATCTTATACATCCAGTACTCTCAATTACACCTAGATCCACATTTACTAAAAGGCAAAAAGCAGGGTCAGCTGGTGGCATGGTGGTAAAAGTGGCTGGATCCCACTTGGCCAACTGAGTGGTTTAAGTCCTGGAACCAGTGGCCTGAAAAACACACTAGGTGTGTGTGCATATGTGCCCAATTCTTGAGAGCAGAAGAAGAGGGAGTGTGGCGTAGCCATCGCGCCAGTGGGGTGCTTTCTCACTCCCCCCACGCACCCCAGTAGAACACACTTTCCCTATTGCAAATTTAAAAACAAAAAAAAGGGAAGAAGATTTTTTGGCAAAGGGATATTTTAAAAACAAACTCAGAAGTGCTTCACGTCCTACTTGAGCCAATCTGACTGGAGCTTAAGAAACTCCTCTCAGCTGTGGCTAACATCAGAGACCTGACCCCACCACCCTGCCTGAACACAAGCCCCACATCATCCAGCCAGGCACCAGGACAACACGGCGGTCGAGAACTGCACTTTGACACCTTATCTTTCATTCTGACCTGAAGCGAAGGTATCTGGTGAGAAAGGTTTTGAAAATGGGTAAACAAAGGCAGAAGAAACGCCATGACACGGTGATGAAGGCCGGGGCAGAGTCTTGGTCTCTGACTAAGGCCTTGCTATTCATAGCCGTGTGCTCAGAAGTAAGAATACATGATGGGGTCACAGCACCTTCTCTGTTCTGTGGTTCTTATGTCAGATGGCTCATAAATCTGGATCTGATTACTGAACTAAAAATATCTCCCAGGTGGAGGCCAGCAGGTGGCACAGCGGTTAAGGCGCTGGACTCCCACATGGCCAACGGCATGTGTGTATATGTGCCCAAAATCCCAGGAGGCGAACAGAGGAGAAGGAACTGTGGCATGGTCATTTCCCGCAGGGGGAAGTGATTTCTCACATTCCCTCTCACTGTCTCTCTCTCCTTCTCTGTCTCTGGCAAGCACACATGCCCTATGGCAAAAATTTTATATATATATATTCCCCCAAGTCTATACAGATTAAACAGTGTTCACGTTTAATTCAAATCCAGGTTTTAGGCAACTTTGTAAGTTCCAGAGAGTCCTGAAAGTTTCAGGTCAGTCTTATCTCTAGCCACTCACTTGCTGTGTGTGCTCATTCTGTCTGACGAGAAAATGGCGGCCTAGTTTATAAATGGCCTGTCGCTAGCTCTGTTCTCCCCTTTTTGCCCTGGAAAGGTGCAACTATGGAGCTAACATGAAGGAAGAAAATAGGAAAAGCAAGAACAGCAGCCCGACTCCCACCAGACTGGGACGCTTTTCCTAAACACTGTATTTCCATTTCACTCTGTCACATTAGCCATGCTTCTACCTGATTCGTTGTGGTAGCCAGCACTAAAAGGACAGACTTCTGGGGCTGCTGGGACCAGCACATGGCGTGATGGTTACACCGCTGGACTACCACCGTTGATCACAGTTCGCGTTCCAGACCCGGCAGCTTAAAACTCATACCGGGTGTGTGAGCATGCATGCCAGAGATCCCAAGAGGAGATTGGAGAAGGGATTGCAACGTGGTCATGCCCCCTGGGTGTGGGGCTTGGGTTCTTGCTTGCTATCTCTGTCTTTCTGTCTCTCTCTCTCTCTAGTGAGCACATGCGCCCTACAGAAAAAAATCTCTCTTTAAAAAAAAAAAAAAGAAAGAAAATGAATCCTGGGGCTAGCAGGTGGCATAATGGATAAGGTGCTGGACTCCCACACAGCCAGTTACAGTTTAAGTTCCAGACCAGGCAGCTTGCTTTCTCACTGTCTCTCACTTTCAAATTTAACAAATACTAATAGCAGATAAAATTAAATAAATCATTCTAAAATCCTGGGCCAGCTCCAAGGCCTAGTGGTTAAGGGAGCAGGATCCAGCGTGGCTGACCAAGGTCTGAATTCCGGCCCTGGTGGCCTGGGAACATGCTGGGTATGTGTGCATGCACCAATACCTGCCAGGGAGGAGGAATGGAGAAGGGACTGTGGTATGACACATCCCATCGGGGGGGATGCTTCCTCCCTTTCTCTGGTGAGGACACATACTCTCTGACGGTTAAAAAAATACATATATATAAGGCCAGTGGGGTGGTGGCTAAAGCAACTGAATCCCACATAGCTGACTGCATGATTCAAGTCCCAGACCCAGCAGCTTGAAAAACACATCTATGTGTGCATGCGTGCCCAAAATCGCAAAGAAAACAGAGAAGGGATTGCTATGTGGCCATTCCCCTGAGGGCAATTTCTCACTTTCCATCTCTCGTCTCTGTCTCTCAATCTCTGACAAGTGTACGTGCCTTATAACAAAATTTAAAAAAAAAAGTACAGACTCTTATTTTGTAATTTTCATGTAGGAGAGAGGACGCACATCCTTTGGAAGGCCCACTGGCATCACTCACACCTTAGAGTGGGTTAGTTTCTATTAAACAGCTTCCCCCTAACCCCAGAGACAGGTCCCATTGAAAGCATCTTCAGTTTTAGGGTTTTGTATGAAAGGATGAAAAATAGCTTAGCCATATAGAACATTTCAGGGGACAAAGCAGGTCTGGGTAAGTTATGCCAGTAGGAAGAGGAACTCTCAAGGTCAAAGAAAGGGAGAGAATACAATGCCAAAGGCAAGCCCAAAGGCGGCCTGGGTAGGAGGAAGACACTTCCTGGTAGTGACCTGGGCTAGTTTAAACCAAATATTCTGAATTCCAAACCACCAATTAAACAAAAGAACGTTAAAGAACAACTATTAGAGGTGAGAGGCCACAGCTCCTAATGCTTGCTTAAATTTTCTGTGATTGATCTTCTATCCTTTCTTGGCAGGGAGAGGGCAGGGGACAGGGAGTAATGGACAAGACAGCTGTGACAACATCTGGGCTAATATCTCTCTGCCCCTATTTTTTTTTTTTTTTTTTGGATGACTGATGCTGAAGCCAACAGTAAAGTGCTCTCATAGGACATTAATGCTAAGGCCAAAATGAAGGGTTTGTTCCCCAGGCTGGGAAGGAGTCCAGCGTCCCAGCCAGTCCCAGAGACCATTTATAAACTGGCCTGAGAGGCCGGAAGGCCCATCCCACAGTGATTCATATTCAACAGCAGACTTCCTGGGCTGCCTTGCGGGCTAGCAGTCACACAGTCACTAAACGGTAACTGTCCCACAGATTGGTTCCCAGTGACTTTCTTTCAGAGGCCTATTATGATGGAGCTCAGTATTATTTATCTGGTGGTGATTTCCACTTTCAATCCAAATGGTACTTTGTTCCAAGTAAAACCAACATCCAGCAAAGACCTCTAGAGCACATCGGCAAGCAGCTTATGCCACCTCGGCTCCCCAGGGCAGAACAGCAGCCTTGCAAGTGGCAACAGACAATAGATGCCAGCCTCCTGGGAGTCACAACCTCCCCGCCCCCAGCACCCCGCTCCCCGCCAGCCCAAGGACAGCAGCTGTGCTGCTGTGAACTGCTGGAATGTCCAGGCGGGGCAGTTCTGTCCACGACCCCACCGACCCCACCACCATTTGTCCTGGTCACCCAGGGTTAGCAGCAGGAGAGCGTCCTTGATTTCCGGAAGAACTGAGGCCGCAGGCGGCTGCATTCCTACATGAAAGAACACACTGACACTGGTTAAAGGGCGGCACCAGGAAAGGGTCCTTTTCCCACGGCTGAGGTTGCCCCTCCCCCGGATTAGAAAACGCCGCACACACCGGCACACGCGCACACACACTCGCACCAGCAAAGGAAAACCTCCTGCAGGCTGAAAGCCCACCTTATTCCCAGCGACTAGCCAGGCGCCTTGTGCTCAGCCCTGACTGAAAGCATCTCGCATCTCCACCCAGGCACCTGTCTCCACGCTGCTGTCCCAGTGAACTGGAATCCGTTTCTCCAGAAGAATAATCTGCACTGGAACCCCCACCCCACCCCACCCCCATCAGCCATGTGATACAGATGCTGTGTGGCCAGAGCAGAGATGACAATGACACAGCACTTAATTCCGCGAGCGGCCCTTCCATCTCGTCTCAATTGTTTAAAAACTGTGAACTCTCAGAATATTCTCAATATCTAACCCCGCCCCAATTTTTGAAAAAGAGAAGGTATTTTTTTATAACCGTTATTAGTTATCCCATTTATTTTCCTCTAATTAACACAAAAAATTCAGAGTAAGTCTGTATCTACCCAGAAATCATTTCTAAAAACTTACAATATGTAAAAACATTTTAAAAAACGGCAGTTCAAATGATCTGGGATCCAATCCCCTTATTTAATAGAAGACGAAAATGAGAACCAAAGAAAGCAGGTAAGTCCCTTATAAACCAGGCTCAGAAACAAGACCCGGGAGGCAGGTGTCGGGAAGTGGGGTGTCGTGCAGAGCAGCAGCAAGGGGGAGTGAAGTTTTGGAAGGGGAGCGAGAGAAAGGGAGAGTTTAAGCCCGATCTAATAAAGGTTCCAAGCGTAACAATTCTTCATAGCGAGTAAAACGACATATTAGGTGTAGCAGTGGGCCAAAGAGCAGGCTAACGGGGCGGGGAGCAGGCTAACGGGGGAGCAGGCTAAGGAAAAAACAGGCTAACGGGGGGAGCAGGCTAACGGGGGAGCCGGGCACCAGCAACAGCACGTGCCGGAATGGACAGAACCTCGCAGCCAGAACGCTCTGCTCCGACTGGGCGGGCGACACCACTCTGCCCCACGTGCCCTTGGGAGTAAGGCACCTACATACTCACTTTCACCTGCCACCTACCGCTACGGCCACCTTTTCTTAGAGGGCAGAGGCAGCTGGGAAGATCCTCAACATCAGGAAAACATTCCAGTCGGTTTACAAGGACCCCAACGCCTAATCCAGGCTGCCTGCAGCTCTCCCCCCGTGGGACCATCTGCCATTTTACAAGCATGCCGTGCACACTGCGGCTATCCACACTCACCGTACATCTGAAATTCCCTTCTTCCCATCCTCCTTTGTCAAAGTCTTGGAATCGAGGCACCCGGCAACAACCATAGCCTTTGCTGTGAGTTTTAGACTCTGTTACCCTGGCATATTCAGATCTGATACCCCATCTGTACTTCTAGGGCACAGCTGGGTCGTACGGCGGGGAAGGAGCAGGCGGGTGTGTGTACACCTTCTCTGTTCTTGGTAGGTTACTGTTCATTAGTGGGTAGTTTCCAGAGGAGATGGGCCAAAACAATACAAACCAACCTCATGTGGGGCTAGCTAACACGGCAGTGTGACAGTGGTATGATAGAAGTCACTGAAAACTGAACCTAACCTCAAATTTGTCAGAGGCTCCAAAACTGTGAAAACTCTTTAGAACTGGAAAAAGAACAGGCAGATCTGAGGTTGAAGGTCAATACTAGTTAATAATAATTCGCCTCATTCTTTCCACTTTGTAAACACATCTTGTAACAGAGCAAGCATGTCTGCGACCAGGAAAAGAAAGCCAACAGGGAGGGGGGCCAGCTATCTCTCCATGCTGGCCATCTTAGCATTATTACACAGAGCAACCAAAATAGCTCGGCTTCTGAAAAGCACAACATGATGCAACGTGGGAGAAACAAGCAGTTATTTATTCAAGAGACTGGCCACCACCGTGTTAATATTATCATAAAAATACCAAAGCATGTACAATTATTAAGATGGTAAAAGTCTGTAGCGTCAGCTCACACATCTGTCAGAGAAAATAATAAATATGTGACTGTAGGGTTACTTACGGCCAGCAAGTGACGTGGAGATTAAGAAGGCTAGAGCTCACACGGCAGACTGCATGGTTCGAGTCCTGGACCCAATGGCTCGAAAATCACGCTAGGTGTGTATGTGTGAGTGCCCAAAATCCCGAGAGTGGAGGGAAAGGGATTACGGCATGGTCAGCCCCCTGGGGGGGGGGTGATTTCTCTCTGTCTCCAGAGAGGTGTGCATGCCCAATAGCAGACTTAAAAAAAAAAAAAAAAGGTTACTTAGTAGTGGGAGAAAAGATGAAGGGAAGAGTATTAATACTTGATCAGCTCTTTCTGACAATTATTTTACTTAAGAGAAAACTCTCGGGCCAGCGGGTGGCATGGTGGTTAAGGCACTGGACTCCCACATGGCCAACTGTGATTCGAGTCCTGGACGTGGTGGCTTGCTTTTGCTCTCTCCTTCTCTCACTCTCCGGTGAGCCTATGGCAAACTTAAATAATAATAATAATAAATATAGTTTAACACATTTTTTACAAAGTGGAAACTCATGGTTTGGAGTCTCGCTCCATCACATGCTATGCTGTGAAAAGTGAAGAGGAGCAGAAGGTGGGATTACAGGAGCCGGGGTAGGGGTTTCTGCAGACGGCTCTATGATAACTTACCCACAACATGCATCCCTTCCAGAGCCCCCGGGACTTACGTTTCTAGATAACAAGGACTGGAACAGCATCTTTCGTTTTTATTTTCTGTCTTTCCAATTTGATTCTATTTTACAAGGACAGCATCTTTCTCTCCTTTTACCCTGGGCATCTCCCACAACAAACTCGAAGCCCCATAGGCTCTCAAGAGACATGCAGTTATTCTGGGGCCTGTGTTCTACTCCCTCCCCTCGCTGAGGCTGCAGGCTGGCAGCCTCACAGCTCTTCAGAGCAGGAGGGAGGCATGCATAACACCGCAACACCACAACACGGGGTACCCAGCAGGCACGCTAAGGCTGTGGGGAGGGTCTTACTTAACATGACAATTCCTTACAGGTGCTTTCACATAGCGAGAGAGAAAAACCAGCCTGCCCAAGATCTGGGCTGGCAGAGAATGGGGATGGAGCGGAACATGGAGACCTACTAGGAGTATCTGTGTGTGTGTCTGTGTGTGTGTGTGTGTGTGTGTGTGTGTGTGTGTGTGTGTGTGTGTGTGTGTGTGTGTGTGTGTGTGTGTGTGTGTGTGTGTGTGTGTGTGTGTGTGTGTGTGTGTGTCTGTGTGTGTCTATTTCTCTCTCTCAGAAGAGAGAAATACTTTTTAAAAAACCTCACCGCGGGGATACTGTTACTGCCATGCCAAACACTCTGCCTATGCAGCCAGGACTTAACGTAAGCGTGAGCTTACAAGTCAGACAGTGGCACAGTGGTGAAAACCCACTCTGCAAGGCAGTCCAACATGGGAAAGTTTCCAGTTCAAATCCAGAGACCTCCTTGTGACTGCCTATGATCCAGGGGCTAGCTGAAGGCCAGGGGTGGATCAGGGCATCTGGACCTACCAGGAGTGCTCTCTCTCTCTCTGGCTCATGGAATAAAATAAACCTTAAAAATAAGTTTAGAGATTGGCAAGTAGTATGGTGGTTAAGGCGCCAGACTCCAACGCGGTCGACCATGATTCAAATCCCAGACCTGTTGCCTTGCATTCTCATGTTCCCTTTCTCTCTACTCAAATTTTAAAATAATAATAACGAATAAGATTAAATAAATAAATCTTTTTAAAAAGTTTAAGGAAAGTTTTTGTTAAAAAAGTGAGTTTAGGGATCGGCAGGTGGCATGGTGGTTAAGGTGCTGGAAATTCCCACATGGCCATCCATGGTTTGAGTCCCGGGCCAGGTGGTTTGCTTTCTACTTTCCCTCTCTCTCTGTTTGTCTCTGGTCAAATTTAATAAATAAATAAATAAACAAACAAACAAACAAACACAAATGAATATCTTTTTTTTAAAGTGAGTTTATATACATAAATGAAAATACTTTTTTTTTAATTCCAGGGGAAGTAACAGTGGCAAGAAATTTCACAGAAAAGACACCTGCTCCAATCATAACTTATATGAGAAGGAGGTAGGACTCAAATTATTCTGGATAAGTTTTTTTTTTCCTTTTTTTTTTTTTAACAAGGAAATAAAACATGTTATTTCTCAGTGTTTCTAAATTGCATACTACATATTTGTTTTCCTATATTTTCATTACCCTATACAATTATAGATGACAAAAGGATCTTAAAGTTCTGATGAATGATTGGTCTTATTTTGTTTTTTAGATTTTTGACATAGGGCACTTGCACTTACCAGAGAGAGAGAAAGAAAGAGAGAGACATGGAGAAAGGGGAAAGAGAAATCCCTGGAAATCACCCCAAGTGGGGATGGCCACGCTACAATCCCTCCTCCTCTATTCTCTCTCGGGACTTTGGGCATGCACACACACTTACCTGGCATGATTTTCAGGCTGCTGGGTCTGGGACTTAACTGCAGTCGGCCATGTGGGAATCCAGTGCCTTAATCACAATGCCATCTGCTGGCCTCCTTATGAAAGGTTTTTAAAGGTCACAGAATAACTCCTTTTCTCATTGCTTCACCCTGCATGACTTTTTTACAGTCCCACTCTACTGTGAAAAGCAAAAACTCCCATCATAGCGTTAAAAGTGTCCACAGAGGGCCAGCAGCTGGCATAATGGTTACATCACGGGACTCCCATGGAGTCAACCGCAGTTTGAGCCCCGGACGTGGTGGTTTAAAACTCATGCTGGATGTGTGTGTGTGTGTGTGCCCAAGATTCTGAGAGGGGGGTGGAGGAGAAGGGATGGCAGCGGGGCCATCCCCTCTGGAAGGTGATTTCTCACTTTCTGTCTCTGTCTCTCCAGCAAGCACCTACACCCTATAGGAAAAATTATTCTCAAAAAAAAAAAAAAAAGTGTCCACAGACAATGCATAAATGACTAACTATGGCTGTGTTCCAGTAAAACTTTACTTAAGGATCCTGAATTTTTAATTTCAGAGGTTCACATGTCATGAAATACTTCTCTCTTTATTTTCTTTTTATAATTCATTTATTTTAATTTGACCAGAGAGAGTGAGAGAGAAAGTAAGTCACCAGGTCCAGGACTTGAACCATGGTCGGTCATGTGGGAAATGTCCACTGCCTTAGCCACCATGCCACCCGCTGGTCCCCCTTTTCTCTTTATTTTCTACCAACAATTT